GGGAAACACTGATATGAGAGAGACACATCAATTGGTTGTCTCCGGCATGCGCTCCGACCCCCAGGACCTGGGATTGGGCCTGCAACCGAGGTATGTGCCCTTGGCTAGAATTGAACCCAGGACCCCCTTCAGTCCACAGGCCTATGCTGTAACCACTGAGCCAAACTAGGTATAGCAAACCAAACAGTCTTTGTTCATATATATATATACATATATATATATATATATATATATGTGTGTGTGTGTGTGTGTGCATGTGTATGCATATGTATGTATATGTAATAAGTATATGTTATATATAATATATATATGTATAATATACGCTAGAAATCGGCTGATCCCAAACAACTTTCAGAATTGAGATCAGCTCAACCCCAATTGACCTTGAAGCGGGGATAAAATGACTTCTTAAACTTCCACGTCCAATCTAGGGACCAGATTTATCCTCTTGCCTGAAATAACCAACCAACCAACAAAATAAAGAAAAAACAAACAACCCACAGACAAAAACAAAAAAAAAAAAATGGTTTTCAAGAGACAGGACATCAGGCCCGACAGATGAAAAGCAGCAATGTGNAAAAAAAAATGGTTTTCAAGAGACAGGACATCAGGCCCGACAGATGAAAAAGAGAAGCAATGTGAGCCCCTTGATTGCCTCAGCTTATTGCTTTGAGAAAGTTTCCAGGACATGCAATTTCAGGGGACCCAGGAGTTGCCCTGTAGACTATCTGAGTTGGGAAAAGAGAGCTGAGGGTTTGGGGAAACCAAGGTGACTCGAGTCCACAGGACAGACTATTGGTGCAGATGCAGCTGCACAGAGAGGAGTCCAGAGATTAGCAGAGGGATCCCCTCAAGTATGGGGAGAGAATACTAACTAAAAACTCAAAATTCATGATGTGGAGGGAGAAGTACTCAAAAAGGTTTTGTCTCCGTAATGCAGAGTAATTAGCCCCGAACATAATTAGCTTATTATGCTAGGTATGATAATATACCAACGAAAATAACCTTTTCACTTGTTAATTACGATAACATTACTAAGTGTCCCTCTACATCCATATGAAAGCAACAACAAACTACAGCTTCTTAAAAGTGCAAAACAATTGCCCGGCCGGGCGTGGCTCAGCGGTCCAGCGTCGACCTGGAATCCAGGCGATAGGGGTTTGATTCCCGGGCAGGGCACATGCCCGGGTTGCGGGCTCTACCAATGACTCTCTCATCATTGATGCTGCTATCTCTCTCTCTCCCTCTCCTTTCCTTTCTCTGAAATCAATAAAGATATATTTTTTTAAAAAAAAAGAGTGTAAAATAATTTATAATTAACATTACCTGTTCCCTTTACCACTGCTAATCTGGGAATAATGTTCTTCCAACCCCACCCTAAAGAGAAAAACACCCTCTGAAAACCTTTCTTTCTGCCACTCTGAGACTGTGCCGTGTTTTCTCTGGTTTTTCCCTCCACACTTACTTTTTCAAGACTAGCAAAAAAAATCGGAAAAGTTTCAACTCTCACGTCTCCGGGTGGTGAAATCCTTTGTCCAATAACCCTGTATGCTTGAGAGGCTCTCCATTTCTTTTTCCAATGACTTACACAGCCTGATTTGCCAGACTGGCTCCCGTCCTAACAGCCTGGCGATTCTTTGTGCAGATGAATAACCATCAAAAAGTCTAAAGTAAGGTCGTTTCAGACTAAAGCAAAGAAGCCTTTTCCGGTAAAGCAACCGGGAACCTCACAAAACTCCGGGGCAGAGGAATGAATGATAGAGCATGCACCAATAGGCATAGGGGGAGAGTATTCTGTCCAAGTTTGTGACCCAATCCTTGGGAGCCAGGGGTGGGAATTTTAACAGGGGGTTGTCTTTTCCTTGGAATTTTCTTAAAGTGGTATCGCCGCAGGAGGCTGTGAAAGTTTCTCAAAGATTGTCCACTCCCTAGTTTAGAGTATCCCCCACCTGGGTAAGGAGGGATGTAAACATCGACACTAGACAGGTTTAGCTTTACAAAGAGCAATAAATAACAGCAGTTTCATTAGAGTTTAAAAAAAACAAAAAAAACAAACAAAACCTCGTTTCAAAAGGAAACTTGCCATGTTAACAAAGTATTAAAAAAATTATTTTGTTTTAAAAAAAAATGTTCCCTAACAATGCTTAGGTTTTGTGTGTGTGTGCGTTTTGTTTTGTTTTAACCAGCATAAAGCTCTCTTCGATGTCAGTAATCCCTGATATAGAAATTTTCGTCTTGAAGGAATATTTATTCACGGCCTTCCCAGTCATGCTAGGAATTCCCTCAATATTCAACTAAGTCGTCACCGTCCTTTTCAGCGACATTTCCTAACGAGAGGTGTTTCCAGAGCAGGGACCCGGTTACCGCCTCACCTTTCGGAACGAACCTATCAGCGGGCCCAGGGGGGCCCCGAAACCCCGTGCCCAGGCTCGCTACTGGCTAAGTAACCTTGGCCGCGTGACGTAAACCCGCCCGGCCTCAGTTTTTCATCCGCGAAATAAGTATAATAATAGTACCTGTGTGGCGGGATTGCTGTGAGGGTTAAAAGAGGGAATCTATGCCCAGCGCTTAGAACGCTGCCTGGAACACAACAAGCGCTCGGGGATTACTGGTGTCATCTCTCCCGCTTTGCACTCAACGAGAGCACGGACGCCCGAAAGAATGAACGGACCAGAGCACCGAGCGGTTACGGGCCGTCCCTGAGGTCGGAGCCGGCGACACGACACCGTCCAACCGCGAAAGCAAAAAGCCCCTCCTTCCTGACAGCAAGTCCCCCCCCGCGCCGGAGCCGGAAACGACGGTCGGAAGTGGGCGGGGCCAGTCTGTAGGAAGCGGTGCTCTCGACCAATGGCCACATCGCTTGGAAAACGGGCTTCTTGTCCGACCTATCGTGAAACAGCGAGAACAGGATGGAATTATCGCGAGGTTCCGTCTTCCTCCGTTGTTCCCGCTTTCCC